GGGTGGACCAGCATAAAAGAAGGGAGTAAGCACATTAGGATCAAATCCTTTAAATCTTTAATCTTAATCTTAATTGATTAATATTAATTCTCCTGTCAAAAATAAACATTTAAATTTAGCGAACTTTTACTAAATTTCGGTCTTAATTTTCATAATTATCTTCTTATTAGCCATAGCCAAATTATACAAATTCCATGACCTCTCATATAAGATATAAAATACATCCCACTTTTTCAACTAAATAAAAAAACTTCATAATAATTTTAGTTAAAGATAAGTGTTAAATTGACGTAAATAATTAAATAATTTCCTTTAATATTATTATATTTCTATTGGAGCACTTATGCTATATTTTTTTTTGTTTATTTTGATCTTTTTTATAAAAAAAAATTTCAGCATCAATCCTTAATGCTAACATCATTAAAACTTGGTTAAATTGGTGACTAATTATGATATGGCAGCACGAATCTTTTTTTTTTTTTTTTTAATCTATGTCCACGTGATCCCCACCTAAATGACTTATGGCCACATGTGTCACATATATTTTATTTTCTTTATATATTAAAAATTAAATATGAAATATCATATTATGGAGAGATACTGTTAAATAAATTGTTGACACCATTATGGTAAAATGGTTAAAATTTTTATTATCTATTTAGTAAGAGAAGTAATAGTACTTTTGTTATTGTTGTTGAATTTAATCCGGCCTTAAATATTCAATGAGCCCATGTATTATCATTTTTTTATTTAAGCATTTATGTTATATTTTTGTCTATTTTAATTTAAATTATTATTTGTATATTGATATTAATTATATGTGAAAATACATTTTCAGTCCAATCTTATTTATTTTTATTTTATTTGGTCTGTATACTGATTTTGCATCAAACTTGTCTCATATTTTTGAAGATGTTCGAATTAGTTCCTCTCTTTTATTAGTCAATAACACAATTTACATTTAATGTTACATTTAACGAGTCTTGACATGTTACATATTTTGTTAGTCACTTATCTATGTTAGATGTCACCTAACATCTAATATTAAAAAAATTTACATGTAGAGTTTGAACTAGTCCAATATTTTTTAAAAAATGTATTTTAACATATCCAAAACAATTCTACCCACCCACGAATTCCTAAATCCCAATATCTCTTCTCTTTCCAACTCTGTTGATCACGAAGAAAAACCCCTACCTGTACCCTTGCTTCTCTGTGTGAATTGAAGATTTAGTTACTTATAGAGCTCTTACTCCAAAGGACCTGACCATTAATTTCAATGAGTTGTATTTCATCTAGGTGTTTCCATGTTTTAATTTGATTGTATAAGCTTAATAAGTTAATTGATGAGTTAGGTGCAACTAATGAACTACGTAGATGTGGTGGCCTTGAAAATCCATATGGATTCCAATTCCACTTGTTTCGATCAAGTTTCGACATAGACCATACTTGATTACTTGTTTATCGATCTTAATTTTTGCAGTCTGATAGGCCAAAAAAGTGTAGTTGATTTTTAAAATAATCACTTTGTTTTGATAAAAAAAAAGGCGAGATGAGTAACAATGGTGGTGTTGTTTAAGATGCATTATTCTAATAGTACTTCTAATAATCTATGGTTTAGAATCAGAGACATGATCTAGCCTGAATCCAATACATCTTTTGTTATGTTCTCCACTTTTCTTTGTTTAGTATATTTTTTTTTTCGGTTTGATGATGCTAAGCTTGCTTGAAATATGAAAAGGAGAAAGAGAAGAGAAGAAACAAAGAGTTATTTATCAAGAGCCATTAGTATAGTGTTTAAGACTTACTTGGAGTATTCTACAAAATCAATTCAACAAGATCAACATAATATATATATATATTATAGGCATAAGGGGTCTGTAATATAATACAACATAATATTGTATGCTAACTATATATTTTTTTATTGAAATTTTATATATCCAATAGGAACTAGGATGGTCTAGGACTATGATATTTGAAAAGGAATTTAATCCATGTTATATTATTTCTCATAAACTCCAACAGGCTTCGCCATTGCTATTAAGCTATGAAATTATATATTAATTCAATATTAGTTAATATAAAAATAAAAATATCTTTCTATATGCTTTTTTATCATCATTCTTGAAGCTCGATCTACTCTCTAACTCATATATGTCATTATGACTAGACCTAATCTCCCCAATCTCCATTCCTGTCTTCTCTAGTTGTATTATCACCACCCTTACTTTCTTTATTCTATAAGAATATACTATAGAACAGCCAAAGAATACAAATCTCCAAGGATTGATAAAGGAGGAATGAAGAACACAGAGAGAAAGAATGAGAGAAGATCGTCAACTAAAGAGAAAACCCCAATAGGATTTCAACCTTTCAATTTCTCTCAATGGTTCTTACAATCAAAAGGGAGGTTTTTATACTTATAAAAAATTAAGGCACATGTACACCTCTTATACTATGTAACAATACATTTTAACTCTAATACACATATATACACACATATAAGTACATACTAGATAGACCCATAACGGGGGCCCACAACCCGTTTTAACTTGTAGGTTCAGGTAACATGCATTTTATCCTCCCCCATAAGATGGTGAATAAATGTTTTCTATTGCTATCTTGATTATATGATGGTTGAGAATTGTGCTTGAGAGAGATTTAGTGAAAATTTATGTATTTTGTATGTTGTGTACATGCTTGTTACAACACTCCTATAATGACTCTTTTACTGATCAAATAACAATCTAGTTCATATATGTTTTTAAGTAATTTACTCACTTTTACTCTCCTTCTATTTGAATATTATAACAATAATTCCATATAGACTTCTTCATTTCAATCTCCCTGCAGAAAGACATTGTTGAAATAAAATTGATATAGATACCAACATTACTAGCTATTAAGGAGTAAGCAATCTGACATACACAAATTTTATCACTAGTGAGAATATTTCATGATAGTTTAATCCTTATCTTTGAGTAAATCATTCTACTAACAAGCCTAGATTTGTGTCTTTCAATTGTGTCATATGTGTTGAATTTAACTTTGTATATGTACTTGCATCAAATAAGTTTCTTCCCAGGTGGTAGATTAGTGAGCTTCCATATATTATTCTCTTATAATGTATCAATTTCATTTCATTCCTTTCACCCATACAATTTTCTTCGTATGAGTTAGGCTTATTTTGTGAATTCACAATGAATATATATTTCTTGTACTTATCAACAATTTTAGCATATGAAATAGTAGAAGATATGGGAATTATTTTACCTGCTAATGCATTTTTATCATCATATTGTTGTGAGCGGGTAATGTAAGCATTAACTTATTCATACACGAAGTCCTTTGATAGGAAAGACCCTTCTAACCCTAGTTAATTTCCTTATTGGACGACAATCATTGGAGTTGTAGTTATCTTGTATAGAAATGTCAAGAGTTTCTTCTTTATCAAACACTAGTATTGGAGGAAGTTGGGTTGTGTCTTTATCATCTATTTGGTTATCTTGTGTGTCTATTTATATAGGACGTGTGTTTTTTATGCTTTTTAGTTCTGTGAAGGCTCAACTTGAAATATTGTTATTATCAGCAATGTTGGTTAATAATCTCCAAGGAAATATCATCTCATAAAATATCATATTCCTTGAGATAATAATTTTATTTGTTTATATATCAAGAAGTTTATATCTTTTGACACCAAAAGGATGTCCCAAGAAGATGCATTTTCTTACTCTAGGATTAAACTTGTATTTGTTATTGATCAAATTAGAGACAAAAGCTTAGCACCTAAAGATTTTTAGGTATGTTAAGCGGGCTTAGTTTGGAATAATAATTTATATGGAGTTCTGTGATTAATAACTAATGAGGATGTCCTGTTCATCATATACACTATTGTTAAGGTATAAAATCACTTTAGTATTAAAAACTCAAGTCAAATTTACAATTTTAGGGCTATAGCAATGTTCAATGTTTGTTGATGTTTATTCTTTATCCTTTCATTATGCTAAAGTGTCTCAATACAACTCTTTTAATGAATGATTATCTTCTCTAAGTATGGGAGTTCCTCTTAGAAGAATCAAACTCAAACTGAGCTTCATTGCCAATCTTGTGAGCATTTTCATCTCAAACTTTTTTTCACTATTAATACAGATGATCTTGATTTTTCTATTGAACTATGTCTCGATGAGGGTTTAGTAAGTGAGACTAGTTTAGCTTTTGATCTTAGCAAATAAACTCATGTAAATCTATTAAAATTATCTACATTTGAAAGAAAATAATGATATCTATCATTGAAAATATCATTACAAGGTCTCTAGATATCATAATGTATCAAATTGAAACATTGTTTATATTTAAGTTCACTAATAGAAAAGGGAAATCTATGGAGTTTAGCTAATGGAAAAATGTAGTAAGGTTTGCATCTCTTATTCTTAAAGGCATGCAAAAGAAAATCTGACTTGGACAGTGAAGGGTGTCGGAGGCAATAATGCCAAAAATTAAAGTTTCACTTTGATCAGGGGCTTAAATTACTGTGTTAGAGATATATGTTAAGGTTGTATAAAAGAGCTTTTG